TTCCACTGAAACCTAATTAGTTTTCAAATTTTTATCAAATGTCTTTGACTTTGTTCACATCACATTTAACTTGCTAACTCAACATTATATATTTATTATTTTTTAATAAAACAACCTAAAATTGAGTGTTTAACTCCTAAATTTAAGGCAATTAAGTATCATTCTAAATTTAATATGTTCTTAAATGTTACATCCTATTTTCTCACCTTCCTTCTGAATCATCTCCATCTATTCGTGTTTCCTTGTCTTCTCCATAGTCCCGACTCCCTTGTGCAGCACCTCCACCCATTTCAGTCATCAATTTTTTTTTCTTCTTTTTAGTTTTTCTTAAACCAATATTAATATTTATTGTTTAATCTGTGGTTGTCTATACCTATATATCATGGGTACAATTCAATTTCCCTACATGTATTTCTTTGGGTGCAATGTTCTTTTATTAGTTAAATTTTATTATACATATTTCTACGGGTACAATGTTTTTGCGTTGTTTTAGTATATATTCCACGTAATAATATAGGTATAATTTCATTTGGTTGTTGCATTTTATGTACCCATATGCGTACAGATAATATGTATATTGTTTCTCGTTGTAAAATGCACTAATTTGTCAATAGATCACTTTTGGCACATTTTCATCTATCTTTTATGAGGAATATAGGTTACTTACACAAACTTTTATGGGCACTATATTTGTTTGTGTGTGTGTGTGGGTACATTCTTTTGCGTTAATTTGAGAATGTATCCATGTGGAGTTTTATTAGGTTTTTTTTTTTTTTTTTGGAAGAATGTATCCATGTTTTTGGGTTTGAAGAATATATCAATATTTTGTGATACATTATTTTTTGCAATTCATTTGATGAATGTACCCATAATTATATATATATATATATGGGATATGATCAAGGGACAAATATTTTTATAAAAATCTTTACACTCCTTATTAGCCCTTGGATCTTTTTTAATCTAATGGTCATAATTAAAAGTTAAGATTATTGTCTTTAATTTAGTAGGTGATGTGGCGATGACTTGGAATAAATTAACATTAACGTCTACTAAAAATTTAAAATATTTTGAAAAGAGTCCTGTTGCACCTAAACCATTCATCTTCCTTGGCGAACATCATCTTCCTTCATGCCATTGTGTTGGCAATCAAATAAAAATTGTTGCTGAGTCCAAAATAAAGAAGGATGAGGAGAGAGATTTTGATTAGTTCTTTTGTTTATATTATGCAATAACCAAAAGAAATCAAGGGCATATTAAAGAAATTTGATGTAAATCAGTTTTAGGGTTAAAACCTCATCCCTTTCTAGGAAGATTCAATTTTGTTTGCCCAACTATATCCAGATTTAAATTCTAGGCTAAGAAACCGGGGGTTCTTCAGTGATTGAACCAAACAGAAAATAAATAAATAAATAAATAAAATTTAACAGGGCGAGAGTTCTGAATGTATCTTCTTCAGCCCATTTTTTATACCTTCCCATCATTTACAGGCAACCCATGAAAATATAGTATTGATATTATAGGATTCGAGAGAGGGGAGAGAATAGGAAGAAGAAAGTGAAAAAGTCAATTAGGTTGTATGGAGCGAGATTGATATATCCATGATTGAGTTCTTGTCATCTTAATTAACAATGACCTAGGGAGTTAGATGAAGATGGAGGCTCCGAAGTGTTTAAGTTTCCATAACCTAATAATTTTTCCTTAAAATTTCTTAATTGATTAAAGTCTTTTTATTTCCATGTCATCAGCGCCACATCATTTAGTAGTTTAGATGAGTCATATTAGTTTTATTCAGGATCATTGGATTCAAATGGATCTAAAGACTAACAAGGAGTGTAATATATATATATATAGGGATAGGATCAAGCATATAAAAAATGAACCCTAATAAATAACAAAAAAGAAATGATTTAAAAAAAAAGATGATACCACGGATAGGATTAATACTCAGCCGAAATGAAACTGCTATAATAATAAATAAAAATTGAAAGCGTAGACAAATGAAATCAAGTTGTTTTTTTTTTTATTTGAAAAGCTAAAAAAAGTACAAAAATCATCAATGACCTAAATCGACAAAACTAAAAAGATTTTGTAAACCTAATTTAATCACTCTACATATATAAACAATAATATACGGTTTAGGGTTTTGTACGTTTTGCTTACATAATGAAGATTCAAGAGACTAATAACTTGATTCGTTGTAGAAGGCATCAAATTTCATATCAATCCTATAAAAGTTGCAGACCTCATCGGCAAAGAGGGAGATAAAGGTTACAATACTTCGAATCAATGCAGTTCTAGCTCCTTTCTTGTTTGCACGCTTAAAACTAGGGTTTCTTCCACATTTTATGCTTTTTGAATTTTATTTTTATGTTTAATATTAGTTAAAATCCACTTAAGCATCCATGTCATTTAAATGAATATGACCCTTTGGATGTTTTGGAATTTGAAGGTTTAAAAAAAAGTGTAAAAATATTTGTCAAAATGTTTGTCCCTTGATCCTATCCTATATATATATATATATATATGTGTGTGTGTGTGTGTGTGTGTACGTATACATTTAAAAAATAAAAAAATAAAAAATAAAAACTATTATCTATCTTCTATATATAAAGCCAACAAAAAGGTGAACGGTGATTTTGGTGTCACCAAGCTTCAACAAAAATATTTGGACAAAAATGCCCCAAGACAAAAAAACTTCAAAGGCATCCCAAAATAATGCATCAAATAAGGTAGGGGTATTTTTGTCATTTTAACAGTGTTTTTTTAATAATTATTTTTTTGGTACAGTTTTTTTATTTTTTTATTTTTATAATTAGTTCCTCACAATAAGCTAGCAATAATGTGATTCAATTTCTCTTTTTTTAAACATGTTCAAAACATCTTAAGAGGTGTATAATGCTGGTTATAAAAAAAGGTCTTTCGCACGCGGATAATAATATGATTCAATAAGTTGTCAAATGATTGTTTTTTTTTTTTTTAAACAAACGATATTATCTATACTAAGGGGGAGGGGAGTGGGCTTGACCTCACAATAGGCTACCAATAATGTAATTCAATCAATTGTTTATTAAATATTATTTTCTCTATTTTTAAACACGTTCAAAACATCTGAAGAGACGTGTAATGCCGGTTATAAAAAAGGTCTTTCGCACGCAAATAATAATGTGATTAAAGTAATTGTCAAATGATTGTGTCTTTTTTTTTTAACAAACGATATTATCTACACTAAGGGGGATGGGGTGGGCTTAGTCTCACAATGGGTTAGTAATAATGTGATTCAATCAATTTTTATTAAATATTATTTTCTCTATTCTTAATGTAAATTCTATAGAGATCGATTTTATTTTGTGAATTTAGCTGCTTTAATTGGTTTATGAGGGGTTTCTTCTAGCATGATCTAAAATTATTTATTTACTTCAAATATTTGACATTCCTTTTGTCAATTTAAACATATAAATACATTTAAAACATGTAAGTCACTCGTAGCACGCCGTGATTCAAATAATATCTTCTGCACGCACGTGAACATGTGCATGAAGGTTAGTTATTATTAAGGAAAATGTTTGAAACTATTACAATAATTTAAGAAATGAAGAAATTTCAAACATGAGACTTATGGGTGGAACCCAACGCCCTATCCACATGATATTGAACTACATGCATACACACACACACACACATTACTTTTCTTATTTTTATATGTACATAATTTTTTATGGTAGACCATGATCTTGTATTGACTTTTAAGTGTTTGACCGACCTTCTTCCTAGCCTAGTGGTTAACTGTGCTAGCATGATTTCTCTAGGTTTTGGTGTCTGAGGCTGATATGAAGATGGTGAAGATTATGATGATGATGGTTTTTAAGTTTCCAATCCATCTTTAGTATTTTAAATCACACAAATTATGTGTTTTATTTAAAACGTCATAAATATAAGTAACTGCAAATTATAATTTTTAAATTAAAATATAAAATAGATGACATGAAATACATGTAATACTAATATGCTGAGGCGTACAAAAGTCAAGAACTTTGATAAAACAAAAAACTAATAAGGTTTCAGTAAAAGAAGATTGGTGGCTAGGGACTACATCCAAAACCTCCCTTGTGACAATGACCTGTAACTCAAGTGTTTTAAAGCGCACACTTTCAATAAAGGGTATAATTATGCAAAGAGATTGGTAGTTAAAAGCGGGTTGTAACATTCAGATGTACACCCAAACTCCTGTGTTTGAAGTTTGAAATTCCACTGCCCTAATACCACTTGTATCAAAAGAACATGAAACAACACATAGAAATGCCTAGTTTACCATTCAAGTATGCGGCCAATTGAGAGAGAGAGAGAGAGAGAGAAAGAGAGAGAGAGAGAGAGAGATGCAGGGGAGGTCGAGGCGAGAGAATTTGTGGGTTGGCAAAGGAAGTTGCCGGAAGGAATTTGCTTGTATTTGTGGTTGAAATGAACGGGTTTGGTACCTTGTAAAAGATTTATAAAAAATGGCTTATTATATTAACACCCTAAACCCTAAAATATATAATTCTTGGAACTGGAAATCGGTCAAACCAAACCGGAACCAAAATGCGATAAGCTATGCGGTTCTAAAAAAACAAATTTTAAAAAAAAACCCGGATCAAGCCCAACCAATGATATTTTTCGGTTTCTATTCTGGTTCACTCTAGAGAGAGTGAACCAAATCAAACCGGACCCTCCCAGATACCAAAGGTATAACTACAAAGAAATTTCTGTCAAAGTCGAGAAATAAGATTACTGGCTGCAAATGGCGCCATGGTGTATATGTTCTTAACCCTACATTTTCATATAATTTTAATGGAATTGCTTGCTTCCATGTGTACTCGCTGCATAGTTACCGTTCGTTGAAGAAATTAGCCCCTCGCTAATACTTGCGAACGACGGTTTACAGTTAGTACGTTAAACAAGGCGACGCTGCTATAACCGAAGATAAACCCCCTACAATCTCTTCTAGTTATATTTCCTGTTAATTAACTTAACTCAGCGTGCACGATTTTCATTAAGTTTGTAATTGTCCTTTACATAAGTACTTTAACCAAATCACGCAACAGTTAACTCCGCCCCAGTACCGGTTTCTTCAACAAACTGCGCTTTGGGCTCCAAGTCTATGAACTGGTTGGACTTGCTAGCGAGATGCGAAATGCTTACCCTTCCTTGACGCTTGATGTAGTCTGCCACAGCTTGCATCTCTTCTTGGGAGATGTATATGTACTTCCCTCTGTCATCCATGACTCCCGAAAGTCGCCCTAACACAAACAAATACAACATTTTCATTCTCAACCAAAAAAAGGCATTTTACCTTCAGAAGCAAGGCACTATTAATTTGGGTGAAACAACTCAATGAGGAAATGCCTCTGAACGTACCCATACTCTCCAGATTGGTAATTCGATTGATGCATTCCTGCATGAATCATTAGTATCGAAAAATTAGAAAGCCAAATCTGGCATAAATCCAAACGATGTATGATATACCAAAAGGACGGATTATTTCTGTGACAGAGTTGAAAAAAAGAAAAGAAAAAAGCATGTTCTAAACAAAAAGAGCAACAATAAGTTGACCACTTATTTTTAGAAAATATATTTCCGCAGGGTTTTTATCACGATTGGTCCCTGAAATTGGACTTTCCAATCAAAATGATCCCTCAAATAGAAAATCCAGCAATTTAGTCGATGAAATTTAACTTTCCAATCAAAATTTTCCATTTAAGGTACCATTATGATTGAAAGGTCCAGCTTCAGGGACCAACCGTGACAAAAACCCTATTTCCACATGCCTTACTATTTTTTCAACTAAAAACTCATTTATTACTGAAATTTGAGGTACGTAAGGAGACATGAAAACTGTTGATTATTGAGTTAATTTAGGATAAATATGTGGAGAAATTACCTGAGTCCTTAACTTAAATTCAGCAGCAAGATCTTCCAAGGGAATGCATTTATGTTTCTGCAATGTCAGAGTTAACGGTAGTATTAATAACAAAATCACAACCTCAACTTCAAATGCTTACTTTCTCAACCATTAATTCATATGATTGAGGTCTCAAATCGTTACAAAAGGACGCTAACAGATTAATAAACTCTAAACAGTAAAGCTATCTTAAGGATGAGGGGACGGAAATGGCAAGCTGCATGCCCAAGCGTCCCACCATGGTCCATTCATTCAGGCATAAGCACAAGCTCAGATCGAGTTGGCCAAAACAGATTCCTCTCATCTCAGCTTGGCGCAGCTAACCTAAGCTAGGGCTTAGAATAAGTTGAGCACATAAGCTTGTGACCAGGTTGAGTTTGTCTCAATTGGGTTGAATAAATTGTACAAACTACAATCCAACCTTAACCCACCCCCAAAATCTTAGTAACACATTTCATCCCTAGTTTTGATGCCAACCCGATGGACGTATTTGGGAGCTAGAGTATAGAACAATTTTTTTTTTTTTTTAATGAGTTAATTGAACTCTACCTTTATGTATTCCACAAAATCAGACAGCAAATCCTGACGTCCATCCTGCACTTCATTTTCTGTAGTACCTTCAGCGTCTATTGAAAACTCACCTTTCCACTTTTCAAACTCTAAAGCAGCAGCTTCCTCCTCCCTAGCCTTTTGAGCCTTGGCTTCTTCCTCCTACAAAACAGTGGCCAAATCTTCAGGCAGTAATCCAACGACATAAAAATACACATGCTAATTTGCCAAAACAGAAATGAAAGAGGGACATCAACACACCAGCTGACGCTCCTGTGCCTCACGCTCCTCATCTTTCCTCCTCCGCATTTCAGCATAGCGGTCTTGTTTTGTTACCCTTGATTCACGTGCAGCTTGTTCAGCCTTCAAACAAAGAATGGACCGAAGTAAATAATTAGTTGTGCTTCAATTGAAAGGAAAAGGGAAGAAAATAATATAAAAGGAGTGCAAGTAACCCAAAATCAAGGATCCTCAGGGAACATAAGCATAAACTCAATTAAATGTTTTAGTCATTCAGCCATTCAGTAATTTAAATCGATTGAATGATATAGCAATCAAACTTCTAACATTTCCTACGCCTCAGTGACTACACAGGAATGGTTTCTGTCTTTATTAAATGTAGATATTCGAATATCTAGAAACTCGCTAAAATTTAAGGCCTGTTGGGTATTCATGACATGACACAACACATTTACTAGAAAGTTTAATCAGGACCAGAGAGCAAAAGAGTGTGTGCAAGCTTAATCAGGACTGGATAGGGAGAGAGAGTGTGTGCAAAATTTCAAATCAAGAAGTAAAAGGAAGAAAGAATACTTGTCGTTGTGCTTCCCGCTCTTGACGCTTCTTTTCCCTCTTCTTGGATGCTTTGTCTTCATACTCACCCTCAACATCTTCCTCGTCACTTCCATCAATGGTTTCTGTATTTAGAAATATAGATTAAGAGTTCATTGCCAGAATAACTCATTTTTCAACTTATTTAATATCATAAGCACTTAAAACAAGCTAACCAATGCCATAGCTGAAGCATAAATTGTCCAGCATACAAGTCCAAATTTACACTTCCTATGCCGGGTACGTCTTCTAAACAGAATACCTAAGGAGTCAACTTACACTCTGAACTGCCTAATTCTACATCCTTTACTTCCTCAATTTTTGTACCCTCCTCATGAATTTGATCACACCTTTATCTCTCACAGATGCGGTTACTTATCAAATTGTTTTCAAGAGAAGTTTTTAAGAAATGTTTTGAGAAATGATAAAAATTTTCAAATAGGATACCAAACAGGCCCTTATATTTTCGTTCCTCATTATCTCGCCACCGCTTACCAATTGATATCTATTTCAATCACGATTCATCAATTATAAAAGCTTCTCCAATCAAAGAGAAACTAACATCGTGAAACCTCAGAGTCGCAATTACTTACGAACTTAATCCAACCTCTTACTAATATAAATTCAAATTAGTCACTTCAACGTAAACCACAAACCTTCTACAGCTGGTGCAGCAGCTGATGATGTGCTTGCTCCAGAAGCCGGCCTCCTACGCATCCGGCGACCGCCAGGCGCACGCACTACCGCCTCCCTCTGAGCAACCTAAATCAATAACAATCCAAAAAAATTCAACAAATTAAATCCAAAACACCATTCGTACTTTCTGAGCCAAAAATCATGAACAGAGCAAAAAATAAAATAAACAATTACGCTGCAACGAAATTAGGGCTCAAAAAATTAAACCTGAGGTTCTTCTTCGTGTTCATGTGGCGGTCGAGAATCTTGGCGGCGTTTCCATAGATATAGTGGAATTAATCCCAAAACAAGAAGCATGGAAAGAAAAATTGCCAACATTTCCTCCATATTTTCTCAATCTCAGGCTCTGCCAATAACAACACCACCACGAATTTGAGGGGTTTTTTTTATTCAAATTTTCTCAAATTTTCTTGGTTTTTCTCGGAAACCAAACAGAGAGTTAGGGTAAGGAGATACCTTGAGAGCGGTTAAGCTTCGGATAATCAATGGAGGATGAATTAACTGGATTTATTACTGAGAGAACTGCGGAGAACGAGACGACCTCACGAGCCCGTTTTGAGGTTACTAAATCAAAACGACGGCGTGGTGTTATTCTTTAGTTTTCAGAATAACGCACCGAAAATAATTTGGTATTCAACTTATAATACCACTTGACAACAAAATAATTCTACGTAAATTAAATAGGTAGATTAAAATTACAAACTAAATGATCTGTTTTAAATAAAAATAAGTACGTTAATTAAAAGTTAAGTAATAATCTACTTATTACAAAATTTAGTTTACACATTTATTCTTACTGACAATACCGAGATAATAAAAGGTGGCCACAAATACTACCCAAACTAAAAATCTTGTCAATGTATCACCAACACTTTTTTTTTTGGACTAGGATTCTCTTGTCTCCCCTTCTCTTTTCATCCCCTTCTCTCACATTCTTTTATTTTGTATTTCTCTTGCTATAAAAAAAAATTAATATAAGATGTTAACGTGGTTCAACTGTAACCATTTAACTTGAAGAAGGTAGAAGTTAAGTTTCCACAAGTTTTAGTCAGCAAAATTCTTATTGTAGTCATATATGTGGCTTTGAGATAAAAATTCAAGAGAAATTTGAAATGGTATCGTGTAAATGGTAGATGATACATTCGAACTAAAATTTTAATTTAAACTAATGGAGTGGTGCATTCTCACCTAAATAGTGAGTAGGAAGTCATCTTCCATATAAAATCGAAAAAGTGAATTTTCTCTTAAAGTTCATCATCAATTCTTAAAATTAGGAATCGATCAACAAGTAGTGATATAAAGAGTTTAAATGAGATGTCTTTTCTTAAGGGATGTGAACAGTTCTATTTAAATAGAAGAATCTAACAAAGTTTCACATGTTCAATTTTTCACTTCTAAATCCGTTCACATCTTCTGTCATTTAGTACTATAGTTTAGTGATGCTCTTCTTTACTTAGAAATGAAAAGTTTTAGACTCTTAAGTTCAAATCTCGATAATGACAAATTTGTAACTAATTTATTATTTTCCCTCTTAATGTAAATACATCGTTGTATCAAAAATCCATCTACATCCCCTCATATTCTATTTCTACTCATCATTCATCAACGGAAACTTGATAATTACTTGGCATATCGTTTGTCGTCATCGTACCTAACGAATGAGACATCTTGTGAGAATTCAAAGGCTTGTATCTTAGAGTTCTAAACGACCATAATAACTTGCATGCATGAAGGTACTACGACTTTAAAGTGTACATATTTGTCATGAATAGCCCTATGTATCTCTTACCTCTCTATACTACGTTAGTACGTTACCATCGAAAATTATGTGTGTGTCAAATTATAATCTGGGGTAACGATGTAACAATAATACTCATTGTTCGTAACATTAGAATTCAACAGCAAAGTAAGGACACTAACAAGGCAATCAATAGGAATTACAAGCCACTCTACTTATCAATAGGGATCACCAGCATTGGGTTAAGGGCAGTGCTATATTGCTATTCGTACGCCTCTACCTCCCACACACAATTGTTAATTTTGTTCACAGATTTTCTGCAATGAACTCAACGGCCAAAAATTGAAAGCGGTGGATAAAAAATGAAAATAGGTATGTGAATTGCCCCAACCTTTCTAATGAACAGAATATCACTGCGGTGGTGCTCAAGTCCAATTGTTTAAAAGTACCCATAAATGTTTTTAAAAATACGCCAAAGAAACTACATGCAGGTCATCTCATCGTACGTCAGAAAATTGAAACCAGAGCGACACAAATGGGGTTGCAGATCATAGAAGATAATAATTAAGGAAGCAAGTGCAAGTGACACTACCATTTCTTTTCCAAGAGAGTCTGAGCCAAATATCCAGCACACGCAGAGAGAAGATGACAAACATCCCTCCATCCGCTTTATTAACAAAACTCACATAAGTCCCAAACCGCATCAAATATCCACTAGCTATAACCATCACTCAGCCACCATAAAAACACACTCCTAAACTCACTCCTAAACCGCTATTATTTTCGGCTTGATTCTGGGTTTTCCCTTGTTTATTAACATCTAACGCGAACATTAAGCCTCGGCGATCTCAGCAGATTCTGCAGCAGCTAGGATCAGCTCAGGCTGGATGCCACCAACGTACGATCCATCCAAAGCGTTGGGGAGTCCCAGTGCCTTCAATGCCAAGTGAGCTGCCTTTTGCCCTGAGATCATCATGGCTCCGAATGTAGGCCCCTGCATCCCCAATAATGTAGCAAATTATGATATTAGGTCCACATTGATATATAAGTAATCGATGAATTCCAAACACAAATGGTACATTATACAAAGTGGGAATCTTATTAGGACCACATAAAAATCAAGCAATATATGGCACTATTCCAAACATTAAAGAACAAGAAAAGAATGGAAAAGCTTTTGAACCCATGTTCTTTTCAAATCACTATGTATGGATTGAGGCTAAAGTAATTGTCGTCCTCCAACGGTGTTTTTGTCTCGTAATTAAATGTAGAGGGAGAGGTACAGGACACAGTAGTAAAGTTTTCCCGGTAGAGGCCATTATATATGTCATTATCGACTACGAAAGGCTAGCGAATGAAATTACTTTGGGACCCTTCTACGGTGGAGGATGCAAATCTAGGTTGGGTCTACTTCAACTTTCATGATTAAAATGACATATGTTTCAAATTTACTAAGATTATAGGGGATCAATATTGTACCACCTCGAATATTCGCTCCTCCCGAAAGTTTCGGGCACTATTCCGGTATGGGATCTACTTCCATTGCGATGTGGTAGTGCAAACACTTGAGTGTTGGTGTCTATCTACACTACGCATTTACATATAAAATTTTTTATTGATAACCATGCACACTTAGAGCTTAAATCTAATTGAGAAGTTATGCTTGATAAGATCAACTTCCCAGTCCTTAATGTTTTATCTAAACCGTCTAGGGCCCCCCACCACGATCCCAGTCTGACGAATGGGATTGTAATGGCTTGGAGTGATTGGATAAGACAATAATGATGATTTAGTGCAATGAGTTAGATCATTCAAACAAGTGTTCATTTCAAATCAGAAAGCAGACAAACAAGTGTTCATCTCAAATTAGCCAAGCACAATAATATCTAGGAGTGTGATATCCCCACACCTTATTTTACTTCTCACACACACCCTCTACCAAATGATAGAAATTAGTAATAGACGTGTGAGAAGTAAAAAATGACACCTATACCAAAAAGTAAAACAGAAATTATAAACAAGAATAAATCAAATGAGATAGAAATGTACCATTCTTGGAGATCCATCAATCTCAGCAACTTCCATGCCGGTAACGATCATTCCAGGCACAATCTCCCTTGTGAGCTTCACAATAGCATCCTCAGCTGTGTTCATGTCCAATGCCTTCATCCCAGGAACGCTCTCAATCATTCCGACACTCCTCAACCTCTTCACCCCGGTGGCTCCCATGGGTCCATCATGGCCGCATGAGCTCACCACAACCTTGGCCTCCATGACGTTGGGGTCCATGCACGACTGTGTGTCGTGGTTCATTGAGACCAAAGCCCAGTTGGTAACCACCCCACCAACTCTGCCACCCTTGATGATCAAGTCCTCGGCGGCCACAGCGTTGAAGAGCTTCACGTTGGGCCTGGCAAGGAGCTTGCTCATGATGGTGGATGTGAATAGAGCGGCGTGCTTGATGACGACGTAGTTGTCTTGCTCATCGTAGTCAATGCCGAGCTCGTTTAGGAAGAGATGGGCGGGTTTGCGCACAACCTATGTCAAACATATAAAATAAACTTTAGTATTAGAAAATACAAGACGCTGCATGCGAGACACGCGTCGACCCAAACAAGACGTACGCTGCATGCGATACACGTGTCGATCAGTCAAAATCTTCGATTATTTTACGAACACACATAAATTTCAAATTAAACAGAAATTCCCCAGAAAGGGCAAAAATTTAAGCACCACCTAAAATTGGTAATTACACAATAACAAATCATTAATTAAGGTAATTTCAAAATAATTAATAATTTACCAACAAAAAAATCAATCGTAAATGACATTAATTACCATGGCAGAGAAGAGCTGGCCACCGAGCCATGCACCGCCACCGGGGCTGACGGACTGCTCGATGATGGCGACCTGAACGTCGGGGTTCTTGCTGAGCTCATAGGCGCAGGAGAGCCCGGCGGAGCCAGCACCGACTACGACGACGTCGGTGTCAGCGTAGGTAATCATGTCAGTCATGTAGCGCCTGGTCATCTCCCGGGAGACGATGGATTCCTTGATGGGGTCGAACTTGAAGGCGCTCAAGTCGTACGAGGGGTTCAAGCCGTTGGAGGACATGGAGACGGAGAGGCCTCCGTTGCTGGCAGGGGCCGCCTTGGCCGGCTGAAGGCGGACTATGGGAGCGCCATGGAAGGAGGAATCGAGGAGGGAGGGCTTCTGGAGCTTGGTGGTGAGAGAGGATGAGGTGAGGGTGGAAGCCATGGATGCCATCGATTGATGGGAGAAGAGAGAGTAGATGATAAGATGGGGTGAATTGGGGGTTTAGGGTTTGCAAGTCACAAGATGCGAGTGAGGAGAGTGGTTATTTAAGGAGGAGGAGGAGGTGAAATATCTGTGAAATTGAAGAAGGACACGTGGAAAGAGGATTGGATATGAAGGGTCTAGAATCTCTTGGAGGTACACAAGTGGCAAACATGAACCAGGCCATGGTGTGTGTTTGTGCGTGAGCAGAGATCGCAGACATCAGAAATGAAAAATACTGGCTCAAGGCTTTTGTTTGGAAATGTTTTAAAAAATTAAAAAAATTAAAAGTACTTTAAAAACAATGTATTCAAACTGTTTTTTTTTTTTTCCAAAATAAACAACAGTATCTACATTAAGGGTAGGGAGTGAACTAAGTCTTACAATGAGTTTGTCATAATAATGTGGTTTAACTTTGTCTTGAGAATCGAATTTAAGATCTCTTATTTACAAATAAAGAGGAATTTAAAAGAACACTTAAAATGTATTTCGAGAAGTATAATTAAAATTAAAAATAATTTGAAAAAACTAACAGTGCTTTTAGATTTGAAAACACTTGAAATAT